GAGCATATTTTTTCTTTTCACTGGGAGGCAGGAATGACTGGAGTTGTTCAAACACTGGTCTGTTCCTACAATTCCTATGATAAAGTTGAACTACCAGAGGAATTTTTTTTTTTTTTTTTTTTTTTTTTTTTTTTTTTTTTTTACAACTGCGGAAATGAAAAAGTAAACAAGACTGGGACTGCATTGGTATTTAGGCTCCAGCTTTTTGTTGTTGTTTTTGTCTTTTCCTTTTTTTTTTTTTAAGCCATTGGGCTAGGAGCCTGAAGGGAGTATATAATATGAAAAACCCTGAGAGGTTTTATTAGCCAATAAAAAAAAACTGAGTTCCTATTAACCACTTAACTCCTTGCTGAAGTTCAAACTTGCTTTCTCCTTGGATCTTTCTCCCCATCTCATGCCCAGGAGGAATGACAGTTGGTTCACCAATCTTTCCCTGCACAACCTGAGCTCACAGTTTGTGCTTCGGAAGGTGTGGCTGAGAATCGTCTTCAATAATAATCTCTGGATTTCTCCTCTGTGAACCCATAAATAAGATTTCTGCAGGGAGCCAAACGTTCTATGCCCTCCAAATCTGCACACACAAAGACTCAGCACTCCGCTAAAAAGGAGTAAAGTCATTGTGATCTCCATGATTTTAAATATCAAATGACGGTGAGGGAAAACAAAATCAGACTAAAGCATTTCTGGGATAAGTAATGATCCCACAAAAGGCTCCTCTCATTTGTGGGCAGAAGAATGAAGAGCAACTCACAGAGAAACAGCAAGTGAAACTGGTCTATTTCACTGCTGGAGACAGATGGAGTTAGGAAACATAGGTGACTTGGTTTAGGAAAGAAAGGATGTCAAAGGCGATTTAAATCGTCTAGCACCGTTTTATTAATTATGCCACAATTCTATGTGTCCTGGGGTTTTGTTGTTTTCTTTCTTCTGCTTTTAAATGCATTTGTACCTTTCTATCAATCCATCTCCAATTGGGTTTTGGGTGTTCTTAGTATTCCCATCTCTCAAAAACACCCTTAATTTCTGCCGTTATATATAAACTGTAACTCCACGAAGCCTACTATATCGTGATTCTGTTTTCCACATTCGGGCTAACTCTAGGACTTTTGGTCCTCCCAGAGAAATTTCCTAAGACCACATGAGCCTGTGCCTTTTTGTGTTCTGGTCCCATTTAATGTTGCTGCTGCAAGAGCTACTCCTTGAAGGGCTTATGTGGAAGAATTTTGCCTTTTTGTTAAAAGCATTTTTCTCTATGTCCTTGGTTTCTTTATAAGAATAGCAGGTGGGGAAAATTCTTCCCTTTTTATTGGCTATGGAGTGGGGCAGAATGACCTGGAAAGAACAGATAGCAATCAAGAAGTGAGCTATGTTTGCAACGCTAAAACATGAAGCAAGTTTTGCAGAAAACCCCACTAAGTGGCCTGATATCACTGCAGCAAGATAGTAAGAAACGAATTAAAATACATTTTGGTAAAAGTTAAATGTGTTTCCAGAAATTTGATCCCTCTGCTTCCCAAATGGCTGAGCATATCTGAATAGCAGGGCTGGATTGAGTCACAAGCTTTTGAATAAAAGCTTTACAAAAATTACTAAAGACTCCTCAAATGTCAGCTTCCCCATGCTCCCTTAACGGACATATCAAGGAGCATCCAGTGTCCCTTGTCCCAATAACCTATTTGAAAACAAGTAATTGTTTGTTCATCACTTGTGGGATAAAGGCATTGCTTTTTTTTTTTTTTTTTGAAGAATTTGCAGAAATTGAAAACTGAGGCCAATAAATTCTGTGTCTTTTGAGTACATATTCAGGGGTGATGAGCCTTATCTTTCCCTGAATGGCTGGCTCAGGTACCCTTTCCAAACTTCACCTTCCTTCCTCCCTACCTTCAGGCATGCACATACCTGTGCACACACACACACACACGCATACACACACACCACACACACACATCACGAACATATACACACACATACACACACCACACACACATATACACACACACACTCACGTACATACACCATACACGCACTATACACATATACACACCACACACCATGCACATACACCACACATGCATGTATACACACACGTATACACACATGCCACACATGCATACACACCACACACACACCACACACATATGTACCACACACACATATGCACACACATACACACACTACTCCACATACACACACATACACCATGCATACACGTGCACGTGTGCCCACACACACGCACACACACACACATACACCTCTGGTGTATTACCCTTTGCATCTTCAGTGGATTTTTTTCTTTAGTTTTCATTCATAACTTTTTAAAATTTCATTTCCAAGTCCTCCTGATTGAATAGCTACCACTGAGAAGCCCCTAGGAAGATATAAAGGGGCTTATCAGGGTGCACAGGAATAGTGGTGAGAAAGGAAAGACTCTCTTGCCTTTGCTCAGAGCCCACGATTTAAATCAAGAGCATCAGCTCTCCACATACTGGATCCTACCTGGCCTTTCTTTAGCACCTTTTCCAGGCCAGCAGAGAGCGGCAATGAAGGAAGAGCTGAGACAGGAGGGGAGCAATCTGGAGTACACCTGGGGAACACAGGCCTCGGGCGCAAGCCTGATTCCCAGTACTGATACCTGAACAGCTCAGGTGTTATGAACTCTGGCATGAAGACGTCCTTCCCAGTCCCACAGAAACTGATTAAGGAGTGAATGCAAGAGGGTTTGCTTGGGATTTCACAGGTGAGCTGGTCCACACTCACTAAAACTGGAGCAGGCAGTTGATTTGTCCTCCGCTTCCCCAGAAGAACTTAGAAATGATGACAGTGTTACGATAAGCATCCTCCCTTTTTAGATACCTCCAGATTGTTGCTTCCTAGGACTAGTCTCTAAAATAATTTTCAAATAGGACAGAGAGGCCAACTGACAGGATTGCTTATTGTTAACCTGATAACAATATCAGCAAAACTAAATCGGGCAAGCCGGTACCTCCATTTCTGCAGTGGCTCTTGGCTAGGTCATTATTCTTCATCAGCCATTTCCAGAGGGAAGGAAAAATTAACTAATAAAGAGCTGTAGGGCCGGCTCTCACTGACTGCGAATGAGGGCTTCCCTGATATCCTCCCTTGCCTTTCGGACTGTTTGCAAGTCCCGTAAATATAAACATGTGGCTCTTCCAGTGCATCTGTAGAAAATAACTTCAGGGGGCTTCCTGTTTACGTGGCAATATCCATTTCCCAGCCAAATAAACTCAGTGACAGAGACCTGAGGTGTTTATTGGGCCAGTCCTGGCTGGGATTGAACAGGAAACACCCACTCTTGCAGAAATGCCTGATGATTAAATATTTGGGGGATAGGGGACACCAGGGGTCAAAAACACTGCAGAAATTGCTTTCTTCTTCCGCCTGTCGTTTCAGTGGGAAACAGAAAGGCCATGATAAATATGGCCAACCAATCCAGGCCTAACGAAGTAACCACAGCTGCGCTATTCACAGGCTGCACAGCCCACGTTGCAGAGAGGAATGAAGAAGCGCCGACGAAAAAGCCAGCAGCATCCGGCACAATACATCCAAATCTTGGACTGCCTTCAGGTGAAGGGATGGAAAAGGTTGATGTGTACCTATCACTGGAAAGTCCTTCCACCTCTGCCTGGCTACTCTGATTTAATAAGCAATGTATTCTCACATTAGCTCTGTCAATAAAGCCTCCAGCTCAGTGGTTCTCAATCAGTGGAGATCTTACCACCTGGGGAACATGTGGCACTGTCTGGAACATTTTTGATTGTTGTAACTAGGGAGGTGCTACTAGCATTTAGTGGGTAGAGGGTAGGAATGCTGGTAAACATCCTACAATACACAGGACAGCATCCCTGACACACACACACAAAGAATTATCCAGTCTGAAATGTCAATAATGCCAAGATCTAGCCCCATGCCTTTTCATAAACCAAGAAAATGAGACACAGAGGAGTAAAGTGACTTGCCCTAGAAAATCCTGCTGGAGAAAACTGGAGAGAGAAAGCAAGCCACTGTGACCACCTCCCTTGTGAATGCTCTTTAAAGTCACACTGATGTTTAATTTTTAAAAAATAAATAAATCTACATCCTGAGAGTTGCAGACAAGTTCCCTGGCTTAAGCTCACCCAAGTGCTTTCAGGATGTTTCCTATTCTTGGAATTTAACTGTTTCCAAGATTTCTTAGAAAATAGCGCCAACGTGTTAAGAATGAGCAGATCTTCAAGTTCTCTTAACTCTCCCTGTGATGTGGGTCAGCTTGGCCACTGGCTGACTTCTCTGCACCACGATTTCCTGGGTCCCTCTTTTAGAACTGTGGTGAGCCCAAGCATTCAGAAAGCACAGGACACAGAGGAAGCAACCTCTCTACCCCAGGCCCTCAACCTTATTGCAGGGGAAGGGGGGACTTACCAAAAATAAACAATAGCCAAGGGAAAAATAAAATCTCCCAACTTTAGTTATGTCAACCAGGAGAATGCTTTTGAGGCGATGGCCCTCCAGGCCAAGGTCCATTTTTACTCATCCTTGGGCTTTGGTTGACTTTATTTTTAAGAACCCAAAGAGATGTGGGAAGGAAAACGGACTAGCCTATGTCTGGGCTGCCTGAGATCTTCTGACGACAGCCAGAGCTTCATGGCTGGGCCCAGTTTATATTCCCAGAGATTAGATCGTGAAGCTATCAGGGACCCCTGACAGGTCCCACAGTTGGAACAGATGGCCTTATTCAAGGATGGATGTGCAGTCCTTCCTTCAGACACAAGCTGATAAGGAAGGGGGTTCACTGCTAGGTTCTTTGCCCACCCCTCCCTAGGAACAGGACTAAACAAGAAGTTTACCAAGACTTTTTTTTCCTTCTTCCCAGTAATACAGCATCTTTCCTCTTAACTAGCCCCGGCAAGTCCTAAGACCAAACAGTGCCCAGGTGTAAGCAGGGGTAAACGTCAGACTAGGGAGAAACTGTGAACAAGAAAAGACCCAAGGTACACACGTAACAAAACCAAAAAAAGCCATTTTATTGAAAATTAAATTCAAACTTCAAATTAATATTACAATCATGAGAAAATGCCAAATAATTCAATTTACAGTTGCAACATACAATACAAATAGTCCCTTTGAAGTTAAGAGTAAACTCATCCACAATCGTGACCTGTGGCACAAAGCGGAATTTTTACAATATGTGCATGGAAAGCAATTCTTGGGCAATAGCAATCGGAAAAAATAAAAATGAAAGCTTGTATTTACACAAAATGCTACAAATATTTTTGTTCCACAGAAACCTAAGAATTGTAAAGCATATCCAGAAGAAATGGAATTTTATTCAGAATACCTAAGAAATTATTGTAAGTTATGGTTTTGGCTGATATATTTCAAAGTACTGCATTAAAAAGCAAACAGTTATTTGTAAACATGAAGTAAACAAACATCTAAAAAGTTCTCACATAGAAAAAAATTTTTAATGCATTAGTTTTCTAAAAACAACAAATTCAAGGTTTGGAAGAATTGTCTTTTATTATTGTTCTTTCAAATACCGTGGGTATAATGATTACTTTTGCTAATGCTTCATATTTCCACATATTAACCTGGATTCTGGGCCAGGCCCTTTCCTCAGAATGGAGGGAATCCTTAAAGCTGCACACACATCTCCTCCCTTCTGAATTTATCACGAATGCTCCCTAGTGGTGTGGATTTCTCTGCTCATTTTTAAAGGGCCCTGGCAGGGGAGAGGCGGTAAGACTGTCTAAAGAGCAAACGATAGCTGATCTGTTGAGTTTCTCAGTTCCAGGCTGAATGTTATTCCACTAATCTAAAACCAAAGCTGTGATACCTTTTCTGGAACTCTGTCATGGGTTGAAATTTGTGAGACAAGTGAAATGGATAAATATGTGGCTGCGCTGATCACACTGTAAATTCCAGCAATGTTTGTGCTACATCAAGAACCACGCTATTTTAATTCCCAGGAATTAGAGTGTTGACTAGTACATGGTTCCACAGTAGTAGTAAGACTTTGCTTTGGTCTTGAAATCACAAATCAAACACATGACCCAGTGCAAATTAAGGGTTCAGTGGAAAAAAAGAAAAACAGAATTTTAATCCCTACACCAAAAAAGGACAGAATTTGTTCTAAGAAATGTGAATTACCCCCATTGGGGTGGATGGAGTGAGGGTGGAGGGAAGAGGTGCTTGAATTTTTCCCAAAAAAAAGCTTCTAAAGTGTTTCTGGGTTGCTGCCTGCAGCCACTATAGTAACATTTCGACACAAAAGCATCCCTAAAGTCACTCGGTAGGTGTGCTGTAAACTTTAAAAAAGCCCTTTTAGCATTAAAAAATAACGTACAAATATAGTACTTTTTTAATTAAATAGGATGCAGCTGGCACTGGCAGTAACATTTTTATGTCAATTAAAATTGAAATGTGTAACCAGACACTGGCTTTTTTAAGTGCTGCTGAAACAAACACATATTTTACACTTACAAATAAATGGACAGTGATGTGCTTCAAGCTACCACACACAAACAATAAATAGTATCAATGACTACTTCCATCTTACTTAAGTAATAGAAAAGTGGCTTATCTAAATATACTTGGTATATGGCCTTTAGAAGGCAAAGTGTTTTGTTTTCCCATCAATTTTTATTAGAAGGAGTCAGGATGAATTCCAAGGGAGACTCCCCGGCAGGAAGAACAGGTCCAGCTGCCCCACACGCTGTCCTGCAATGCTGGGTGGCCTACAAAGGTGGGTTTGAGAAGGATCAGAGAATAAGGGGGCCATTAGGGATTGAAGGCGAATCTCTGCTAAGTTCTGCTTGGGAGGGTGGAGGATTCCAATGAAGGGACCCTGGCTTTTCAGGGAGGAGAGCAGGGATTGGCCTGGTGGTGTCATTTGATGATCCTAGTTTGGATTAAGGATTTGAACTTGGAAATCTGTCATGTGACTGCCAGGAGTGGTCAAAGTGCATGCCACAGAAGGGCTCTAGCTCAAATTCATACACAGTAGTAGACACCAAACTCCACACATCCTTGGCCTCCTTGGCCCTCCATTGTAGGAGATACAAATGTCCAAGGCTGTCTGTAGGTCCCCACAGGCTGTATGTCATCCTCTCAGCTCAGCTACCTGCTGAAACCTGGCTACCTCTTCATAGGACCTACTCCCAAAGGACAGCGATGTCATTCTGCTCCTCTAAATGCAAATTCTGTGGAAAGCTGCCAGTGGGGCCTTGGGTAAGGCAGATTGGGGTTCCCCTGATGTGTTGTCTGGTAAGGCTGGTTGGTTAAGAATCCCTGGTGCAACTTTGCTCTCCTGTATTAGATGTCTCATAATTGATCCTCTATCCACATGTGTGGCTTTAAGCTGACTACATCTTCGCTATGAAGCCCAGCGATTTAGAGTTTTGCTTAACTATGAAACCACAGAATATTTTTCTGTAGTTCAATGATTTACTTGTGCTTGTCTTTTTAATATGACAAGAGTCATAATTACCCCAAAGAAATTTAAGAAAACCACATTGCTCCAGCATTTCATGCTGATAAAGGGCTAAAGGTTGTTTTTAAATCCCTAATTATCGTTTTAAAAGGCAAAGCTGTGTTAGAGGCATTCAAAGATCTGAAAGAACTAAACATAACATTTCCTTCATACATCACCAAAACAAGCTATATCTAAAATATTTGGAGATGGAAGTATTTTTTTAATCACATTGTGCCTGGATGAACTAAAATTGCTTAGCAATATTTCAGATATGGCTCTAGACCATGGAAGAAATTCGTTATTTAATAAAGAGCACTTTTAGAGACCTAAGTCAACATATCAATACACTAAGAAATGTTTCAAGGGTCCAAATGTCATTAAATAATTATAAATATATCTTTAAAGTTATATGATCATTCACGTTAGCAAGTTACCTCAGATTTTACACATATTCATAATTTAAAAAAAAAAGAAAACAAATAACACATAGCCAAACGCGAACACTATCTATACCATTATGGCTATAATAACGTATTGCCATTTTCAGTTTTGCATAAAAGGAGAAGGCAGGTTTTAGGGATTGGATTTCTTTTTGGTTCAGTGGGAAAAGGGGAGGAGGAATGTTAAAATGTAAAATAAAATAATCTATCCTGATCAGTTATTTTTGAAGTCACTTTCTTAGAGCAGGAAAAAAAAAAAAAAAAAAAAAAAACCCAACAGTTGAGATGAGGACCTGCAGCATGTCTGAAAGCAGAAATTGGAAGCATTATTCTGAATGATGGTACTGTGATGGAAGCATCCATTCTACCTCATGTCCCTTTAGTGCACCTCAACTGGTTGTGTAAGCTGTCTGTGGAGGGCACTGGTCCATACACAGCTGCCACCGTGAGGGTGTGAGGTTTCAAAGCACAGAGAGGAAGCGGCTTTGCTCTTCTCCCTCCTGAACCTGGAGTCCACCTCTCTGAATTGGCATAGGAACAGGTTATTGATGATAACAGGCCAAACAACAAAAACAAAAATACCTTTTCCCTTGTTTGTTCCTTTGTAAAAGTATATCTTAAATAGTAAACCATCTGAAACCTGATTGCGACTGTCTCTCTTGAGCCTTCTGCTTCTCAGGATCTACCCTCTTCTGGCTGCAAGATCATGACTAAGTGAGTGAATGAAAAATCTTCTAAAAAATAGGCACTTTGTAGATAGCTAATCGATATACATATATATGCACTCTCTCTATATATATGTATATATTGATACATGTGGGATGTGACTCCCCAGATACCACTGGGCCACGGCTGAGGAATTTCAATATGGCCGCCAAACAGATTCATCCATTCTGCCACTAGAATTCAAAACAGTTGGGGAACTGCTGTGGCTTCCATCAGCGTCAACACCATCATTCTGGTTAGGCAAATTTGGATTTAATAGCGTGCTGCCATTCGAGGTGGTGGTGCATGGCGGGAGCATTCTGGAAGGAGACCGGTCTCCCCCCGGCACCATGGGAAACTGATAGGATCCTGACGAAGTGCCATAGTAGAGATATGGAGTGCTGCTGGTCTGGAAGGGTCCACTCTGGCTTTGGGAAGAGCCGGGATAGGGTGGTGGCAGGTAGGTGTGGTAGTGAGTGGTGGCGGACATACCGAGGGACATGCCTGAGGTGACTGGCGGGGTGTAAGTAAAGGTGGCTGGATAGTGCATTCGTGGGTTGGAGAAGCGGCTCTCAGTGAGGGATGAAATGCTTGGGAACTGCCTGGGGTCTGAAAAAGGGCCCAGTTCTGAAGCACCTAAAAATTATAACAGAAGATGGGGGGAAAATATCTGTAAATATCAATTAAAATAATGATAGAATTGTTACAAGAAAAAAAAAATGAAAACTTTAGCTTCCCAAATAGGAACAGCAAGCCACAAACAGACCTTCAAATGCACCAGTCACTTTACAGTCTTTTTCCCCCCACTTTGCAGTCTTAACAGCATTGATCCTTAAGTTCTTCACCCCCAGAGCATCCCAGAGGGCTTTAAAAACCCACGTGTGTGCCAGGTCAATGTGTAAACCAACCCAACACTCTGATCACATAGGTTCACTCACCAGACTTTAAGACCAAATCCTTATGGATTTTTTTTTCTCTTTTTGTTTCTCGTGGCACATTAGATAATTGAAGTGAAATTTTTACTAAGTCAGACCAGTTTATTCTCCTCAACTCAATATAAAGAAATTCCAAAATAATGTCTTACTGTTTGCTCTTGGCAGACTCCTTAGTCAATGAAGGAGCATCAAAAAGATATCCTATCATGTTCCTATCATTTCCTTTAAAGCCTTAAAAGAATTTAAAACCTTGTCATAAGCCTCCTCTTGTTAACAGTGAAATCAAACCAGAAACTCCTAACTTCTCTGGAGATGGACAGGGAGTGTCCTAAGCTAGTCGGTTTTGAAAGTGGAAGTTAGGAGGCACAAGGGGGCTTGGTACCTTAGGAATCATTGCATTTCAAGTCTTGATGGGAGACTTGTGACCTGATTTAGGCCAGGTGCTGACAGTAGCTTTTGCGAAAGGCTCGCTGCCTAGGGGAGATTAAGAGGAGGGCACTCCCTACCTGTCTCACAGGCCCCAGCACCACATCCTACAGAAACAGCTTCAGGTCAACTCGAAGATGGTTTTCCCCTAAAATGTAAGGTCCTTTTATGTCTAAAGCTAACAGTATGTCTCCTTAATAGAGATTTCTGGTGCCTAACTTATGAAACCACCATTATAAACCATTTAATGTGGAAATTACTTTTCTGAAATGCTAAAATCTTGTAGTCGTGATCTTTAAAGATTGGGTCAATGATGATTTTTCTGGAATTGACAGAATTGTGACCAGCCCTTTCCTAACACCAATGCCCTTGTTAAGATATTGAACCCTTCTAAAATATCTGGATTATTCTCACCTCATATATTTGTTTTTCCTGCCGCTTTTAGCTATAAAGGAAAGCACTAAACAAAACAATTCTTGAGGACTTTAGTGAATGGGTACTTCTTCATCCATCTCATTTTTATTCAGATCTCATTCTCGGGTATTACAACAGTTATTAAAGGAATAATCCGAACACTTTTCTTTAAAGGTGCTGATTGAAGGTTGTTAATTTTTGTTAAAATGCACACTGCTTAGAATCTTCATAAAATGCAAGGTTTAAGTGCCATGATGTGCATTTGTAATAAAACGTGACTCTCTGAAAGCAACACATAGTTAACAAAACTCATAAATCGGACAGTAACAACCAGACAGCCCAGCCCAGCCCAGCCCTGCCCAGCCCAGCAATTGTTAAAAGTCTCACCTGCCTGGCTCTTCTTACTGAGAGTGGAAGGCCAGAGGCAGAAGTCAGAGGTGGCACTGTCATCATCTGTAAAATGAGGGGGATGAGCTCTAAGTTCCCTTCCAGCTCTAATGTTCTATGACCATGAATTCCAAGAGAGAAAGAGAAGCAACAGCCTTAGGGGAGGGGTAGATAGAGAGGTTCCCGTCTGTCATTAGTATTTTCCCAGAGTCCGCAGGCCCATAAGCAGATCGTAAAAGCTAGTGAGCAGCTTCTAATGCCAGAAGCACTTTCAAGATGAAGAACCAGAACTGTCATATCCCAGGCAGTCACTCTCTGCTTTTTATAAATTCTTCCATCCTCAACTAGCTTCTACCTATTCCTCCCCAAAATGAAATTCTGACAAGCTTAAGTTTAAAAATGTGGAAGCAGTGATTATGCCAGAATCAGAAATGGGAGCAGATGCGCCATAACATCTCCCCGCCCAGCGCTCGTGCCCTGCCTCATATAACAGAGGCCAAATGGAGGCCACAGGTGTTCCTCAGGCAGCCTCTGCATTGCAGGGCACCCGGGTGACCCCAAGCTGGCAGAGCTAATAGTGACGGGCAGGTCACTTCTGTATGCATTAAGTTCAATATTTAGATCATATAAGAAAAACCAGAATAATGTGAGCAGCGTGCATCAGAAAGAAGTGACGTTTAAAACTCCAACGTGTGCCCCCTGCAGAAGCATGGAGTTCACACAGATAGGCACCTTAATGTAAAAACTGCTTCTCAGGTGTAGTTGGACTCAAAATACACTGTAGTAGTAATTAAAATTCCATATGGTTTCACTTATTTTGATGCAGAAGCCCCATTAAAACCCTTTATGTGGGGCCCTGGCAGTAAACTCCAACATGGTTTTGAATTTACCCCTCCCGCCACCTTCCTCTCAATTTTACCTGATACATTTTGCTGATGTTTTTATTGCCCGTAACATGCCAGGATCACTGTACCTTTTTGGTTTATAGATGCTAGCTAACACAAACTGACATTTGTTTTTCAATTAAGGAGCTCTGGTTATGATTTATAGAAAACAATGCAACAAATTTCCGCTAGGTTTACAGTATTTTAGCCAATCACTTCTAGGCATTTGAGTCTTAATGTCTTGAGAATTGACTCTTTCTTGACAAAGAAAGCTAATGTTGACTTGAAAGGGATTATAGGATGATTTTTCAACTTACAAACAATTAGAATTTTCTGGAATTTGTTTAGTCATTCTATGGCACCAAGAAATGTTCCTGAAACATATTGCAATATGTTCTATAGAAAGAAATACTAACAATTTGCTCTGGTATGATATGAGATCCCTTATAAAATCAACACGATAGAATGGTGGGAGGAATCCTAAACTTAAAGACTATAAATTCCTTTCTAATCTTCAATTTTTAAATAATAATTGTTAGAGAAGCAAATAATGTCATTAACTTTCCTTTCACTGAATAAGCTTGTATCTATGCTTCTAATCTGTTTTGCACGTGAACTCAGGCTTTCTTTTAGAACCCCTTCTTGGGTTATTTTGTCATTGTGTCCTAAACTAGTCACACCTTGTGTTACTAACCACCGGATAGCCACAAACTTACAAAAACAGAACTGGGTATCACATCAACTAAAGTAAGCAAAATACAAATTTGACTTATCAAGAGTCCACATTACGAAAGCCTAGAGTTCTAAGAGTAGTGCTACCCCGATCTGATTTTATAAATATAAAACCAAAGCTCAGCCACTGCCCCAGCCATACACCTGTTAACATCAGAGCTCCCAAGAGCCAGTTTAAAACTCCTGACTACAACCTACTGGATAAAGAAAGCCAAAGGTGATTTGGGGACCTTTTTTAAAATAGCAAGGAACAAAGTACACAAATCCATTCTTTTCACTGTTATCTATGTTATCTCTTCCATATACAAAGTACATTCAGCTATTAGGCTTTGCTGAACAGTGGAGAAGTTGAGAGTGCTATAGTCAACACTAGATCACTTGGTGCTAAGAGTTTCAAAATGGTATGTGCCTACATCTGGGGTTTTCGGGGAGACTGCTAGAAGTTACTGGAAGCCCAAGACAAACATCATGTATTTTCCTGATGGGCTGGTATTACTCAACTCGGGGAAAATAATACATGATGCAATAAACATGAATATAATGTGGAGGAGAATGCAACATTTATGTGAATTTTTAGATAAATGAAAAATGACTTCAACAAAATTTTGTACTCGTAAAGCCTTAGGCTATGCTCCTAGATCCCCTAAGGTACCCAAATACTCCTTTATACTGGTTGAGGAACTCTGACAGAAAGTCTAAACTCCTAATTTACTGCTTAAGTAATGCAAATCTAACCCCTGTTTGACAAATAGGAAAGCTGATATCTAGAGAAATGAAGCCATTTACTCAAGATCACAAAAACACACAGCTTAACAGGCACAGCCACAGCTAGACAGACCTCTTTGACTTCTAACAAAGAATACGCGATCTTAGTTACCCTTAAGGAATTTGGTTAACATGATCAGAGGCCTATCTACACACACACACACACACACACACACACTCATGCACTCACACTTGCTATCTTAGAAGTTGATTTGCCTAAATGAAAAATACTTAAAATTTCTCAAAACACTTAAGTTGACTCTTCTACTGCCTAAGTGTTGCCCCAATGAGAGTTCCTATCTTTAGGATATTATTAACAGCTTTTTTAGGCCTTGTTGATCTAATCTGCTAAATAATGGGCAATTAGTTTAGTTGCTCAGGGCAACATGTGAATGAGACCAAGGTCAAGGGTATGATCCCCTTAGGAGCTGCTGGCTTCCTACAGATGCACTTCATTCCAAAACTGCTGTCTACACCCACCCCCCAGCCAAAGGCAAACAGCTTGCAAACAAATGTAGCTGTCATAAAGGCAGTTGCAACAACCTTGCTCATTAAAATAGGAACGGCAGCGGCAGCAGCAATTTTTCACAACCTAATATACACAGGGACGAATATATTCATAAAATGTCCGCGGTGCGCAAATGAAAAATAAAATCCATGTTAAAAGTAAGAACATCTTGTCCCCGCTCCCAACGTCTATGAGGGAAAACGAAATAGCCTCTCTTTATCCAGCTCGGTTTCTTGGGTCTTCGCGTGGCAAGCGCGTGGAACCAAGATAAGGGGGAATAAAAGAGAATGTCTGGCCTTTAATTCTTAGAACCCGCATCTTAGAACCTCCACGTGGCATCTTTCACAACCTGCTTTTCAATGCTGCCTGTCCTGAGTCATGTTTGGCTCCCACTGAGAGCAAGCTGTTGAGGGCAGAGATGTGTTTGATACATCTCTGTTTCCCCTTCAGAACTTCGTAATAGTCACACCTGTGTTTGACATTTGTAGGCCTTTACCAAGGCCTTTACTTTGACATACATTTTCTCATTGACCGGACCCTCAATAAATAATGGTTGATTGATGGAAAACGGGTAAGGAGATCTCTTGAACCAAAGGAAATAGGAATTTGAGCAAAATAACTGACTGGGTACTTGCCGCTGGGGCTGTCAGCCGGGCAACGCCATACCCCGTGTTATCTCACCCCCTATGCAGCACGTTTACACATCCCAGCAGAGGAGGCAGGTCAGGGCAGAATAAAAGACGAGGGGACTTGAATCCAGACTGAACAGATGTTGGCATATTCAGAGTCCTCTGCCCACTTTATGTGAGGGCATAAAGGTACAGAATGAAAAGCCATCGTACTTCTCAGCAATGAGGTGTTAACTTCAAAGCTTCATTGGGGCCTTTTAAATGGTAGGAGTTATTGCTTCAACAAATCTCAAATAAATCCCAAGAACGTTTTATTAACCCCCTCTCAGCGTTCTTTCTACTGGAACATTTAATATACAAGACCTACATGGAGCTGCTCTCCCCTGGTAACCAAGAATCTTCTCCCCCTTTGAAACATTTTGGCTGTCTTCTTCCTAACTGCTCTATTATATACTTTCCTATTTTACTTCTGTTGCAATAGCATTTATTTTCCGTATCACTCTTTCGGACCCTTACTCACTCCCTTAATGAATTATTAGCTGTTTCTTAGTCTGTTTTCTCCAACTATAAAGTCAGCTTTGGATGGTAAAGAATATGTTTTCCTCTCCTATCCCTCTCAGAACCTAGTACATTGTAAGAGGCTAAAATGAAAAAAAAAAAAAAAAATGTGCATGGTTGGATGGATAAATGAATACGTAAATGAGTCTAAGGATCAGGAACTCTGTACAATAACTCTACGGTTTGACACTAAAGAAAAGGATATGAAAAGCATTGAGCCATCCTGACATCAAACCTAAAATGTAATTCAAATACACTCCATACCTATAAATCCTTGTAAAACGCTCTTTAAAGAGTGTTCAAAGCTATTCCTAAGCATTATTGCATCACTTGACCTCACGTTGCAGACAGGAGCCCCACGAGCAGCAGCTGACACTAGCAAACATGCCTCTGGTTTGCTGCCTCTTTTACTCCCACTTCGCTCCCAGCACCTGTCCTGCCTCCCAGCCAGTATCCGGGTGTAGATCCACATTGGGGAGCCCCAGGGAGACTAGATGAAGGGGAAAGAGGGCCAGGCCAGAAACACATGGCATGCTGTTAGGTAAGCACATTCATCTTTCCTCATGATCCTGGGTTAATCGCTGCCACTAAGATCATAATCTTCATTTTGAGTGAGTAGTTTAAAGGAACAGAGAGTGAAACTAGCATCCTGTTTGAATTTTTAGACTAGTATACAGAAGCAGAAGTCAGAGTCATCAAGAATCATAGATGAGTTCTATAGATAAGTCTTATGGACATGGAAGCATGCAGGCGTGGTAGATCTGAGTGGCAGATCTGAGTGGCAACATGAGACTTGGACACGGTTCTCCGTCCCAGCTCCAGCATTCTATTTACCTCTGCACCCTGACAGAGCATGCAGGGTGTGGAGGAAAATGTAGAGGGTCTGCCTTGAGCTTCCTGAGTACTGCATTCTATGAAAACACACATGAAAAGGGAAATTCTTCATTGACTGCCTTTTCAAGTCACACAGGCAGCAGGGCCTTCAAACAA